TATATTGGTATTTTAATCAGTAAATCTGGCTGCAAAAAAGGAAAAATACACGACTTTTATTTAATACACAAATTAATATAAAGACAAGACAAAGATGGCACAGTAGAGTCATGCTTTTACACGCTCCCTCTTTTAAATATATAGCATGATATATAAAATGCAAAATGAGAAAATGAAAAAGACATTTGTGGATTTAAAACATAAACAGAAAACACTGAGAAGGGCTGAAGCTGATATCTGCTGAGCCCTGGGTCCGGAAGGCAGTGGCAGCTCCAATTTCTGTTCCTGTAGAATAATCAAAACTAAAACTGCTTCCTTAAGAAAAATTTAAAATGTAGGCTAACTAAAGCCTACAGGACAGGACTATTCTCCCTAATTTTTTTCTAAGGTGAGGTTTTGCTGGGCAAGAAAATAACAGTAGTCCAGGTACAGTAGGGGAGGAACTGAGCCAGAATACGTAGAACAGAGATAAACTGAGAAAATTAGCTCTTCTGGCATCCTCTTAGAAACAAGACTCAAAGGCTATTTGAGCCTGGATCAATAGCAAATATCTTAACTTGATATAATTCTTTATGCCTTTGGTTGTGAAAATGTAGCTGTAAAATCCTAAAAGGTTACAGAGTGAGGTCATTATTCTATAAAAGTAATCTTTTTTCTTTGTAAGATGCAATAGTGAACTCTAACCCTTTCAGGCAAAGATTTAAGTTTTTTCCAGTGAAAATTACAAATACCTATTTCCAGAATCTCAGTTTTCGAATCTGGAGTAGAATTTTAAAACTTCGTATTCTGTGATAGGCAAAATAATGGCACCCTAAAGATGTCCACATCCTAATCCCCAGAACCTGTGAATATGTTCCTTAAATGGGAAAAGGGACTTTGCAGATGTAATTAAATCAAAGACCCTGAGATAGGAAGATTATCCTGGATTATCTGGGTGAGCACAATGTAATCACAAGGGTCCTTATAAGAGGAAGGTGGGAAGTCAGTCAGAGGAGATGTGATGACAAAAGTAGAGATCGGAGTGATGTGGGGCCTTGAACAAAGGAATGCAGGTAGCTTCTAGAAGGTGGAAAAGACAAGGAAACTTAATGTCCCCTAGAGCCTCCAGAAGGTATGTAGCCCCACTGACACCTTGATTTTAGCCCCCAGAGATCCCATTTTGGACTTCTGACCTCTAGAACTGTAAGATAATAAATTTAGGTTAAACTACAAATTTGAGGTAATTTGTTACAGCAGCAACAGGTAACTATATTCCAACTATTTTTAGCCAATTTTTAATATGGAGAATTTTTTTGTTGTTGTTGTTAAAGCAAATGAGAAGGAATTCTAGGAAGATAGTAGCTGCTTCTGGCTTCTTTCCATTCCCAAACTCCTCAATAATCAGATATACAAATTAGAGTAACAATGATATATAACCTTACAATCATCAAAATGGCAAAAAATTTAGATTCCATTTGTTAATGGAAGAGATGGAGAAGGGGAATTATTATAGAATATCATATATTATATAAGAATATATAAGAATATTTTCATATATTGCTGGTGGAAAACAATCTGGCATTACCTGTTAAAATTTAAAATACATTTCTCTTTCCAACCAGTAACCCACTCCTGGAAATCTAACCCACAGAAATAAAAGCACCATTATTAAGGACATATTTAAATATATTTACGGCAGCTTTGATTATAGTGGAAAAAACTAGAAACAAAATGCTCTTCAATAGGATAAATTATGGTACTTTCATACCACAAACTATTATGCAGCCATTAGAAAGAATTAGAGAATGAAGTTGGACCCCTGCCTCACACATATGCAAAAATTAATTCAAAATGGATCAAACCTAAATGTAAGAACTAAAACTATAAAACTCTTAGAAGAAAACAGGCATTAATCTCCATGACCTTGGATTAGGCAATGATTTCTTAGACATGACACCAAAAGTACAAGAAACAACAAAAAATTAGATAAATTAGACTTCATAAAAATTAAAAATGTTTGTTTTTCTAAGGACAAAAGGTAAAAACACAACCCAAAGAATGGCAGAAAATATTTGCAAATCATATACATAAGAGATTTATATCTAGTATATAAGAACTCTTACAACTCAACAATAAAAAGACAACTCAAATAAAAATAGGCAAAGGATCTGAATAGACGATTCTCGGAAGAAGATATACAAACAGCCAATGAGCACATGAAAAGATGGTCAATGTCATTAGTCATCAAGGAAATGCAAATCAAAACCACGATGAAACAACTCATCACACACACTAGGATGGCTATAATCAAAAAGACAGACAATAAGAAGTGTTGTCAAGGATGTGGAGAAACTGGAACCCTTGTGCGTTGCTAGTAGAAATGCCTCTTTGGAAAACAGGCAATTCCTCAAAAAGCTAAATACAGAATTGCTATATGACCCAGCAATTCCACTCTTAGGTATATACCCAAGAGAATTTAAAATTATACAAAAACTTGTACATACATGTTCATAACAGCATTATTCGTAGTAGCCAAAAAGTGAAACCAACCCAAATGTCTATCAACTGATGAATGGATAAACAAAATGTATATCCTTACAACAGAATATTATTCAGTCAGAAAAAAAGTATTGATACATGCTATAGCATGGATGACCATCATAAACATTATGCTAAGTGAAAAAGCCAGACACAAAAGGCCACGTATTGTATGATCCCATTTATGTAAAATGTCCAGAATAGGCAAATCCATGGAGATAGAAAGTATATTAGTGGTTGCCAGGAGCTGGGAGGGGGAAGGAACCAGCAGTGAATGCTAATGAATATGGAGTTTCTTTTTGGGGTGATGAAAATTATCTAGGATTAGACAGTGCTGATGGTTGTACAACCTTATGAATATACTAAAAACCACTGAATTTTACATAGTAAAAGGTTGAATTTTATGGTATCTACATATCTCAAAAAAAAAAAATTAGAACTTTATCAGATGACTTACAGGGGCAACCAGATAAGAAACCATTTGTCATCTGATCAGGTCAGAAGCGAAAAATTTCATTTTATTTTTATCTTTATGTAACTGGTTTTTCTACTTGTAGAAGAAATATAAGGTTTCCTTTAAAAATACATTTACATAAAAAAATGAAGTCAATATAAATAACAGTATTAAACAGTCAGTAAATAATAATGTATATAGCAGACCCTGAAGTTTAGAAAAGTCCTAGTATTCCATTAAGCATTTTTCAAACCCAATAATACTGCTTAGTACACCCTTCAGTTCCCAGTGCCAAGTATCTCTATAACTTAATCCTTAGATATGTTCTTTTAAAGTACAATACTTTCTTTCAATACAATCTCCAAAGAAATTTTCAGGGATTTGCCCTCTAGATTAGTCATCACAGGTTTTGTTCCTTTCCACATCAATAGCCCATCATCCCCACTGGCTCTTCTTGGAGTCAAGCTTCCTAAACTGTGCAAAATGAGGCGCCTTGGGGCACCATGGGAAAAACACTGATACTTAATCTTTTGGAACCATGCAAACTTGTAGTTCAGATACATTAGATGGCACCACATTCCTTCCCATGATGTCATATCTTTGTGAAGATAGGTTTTGGGCCATTGCTCTAATAAAAATCAAGTACTATGCAAAAATCACTCACTGTGGAAAAATGAGGATGGCAGCGTCCAATCTGATCCCAATTTTGAGAAACTGCAGTGCCCAAAAGACACACCCCTTCCGTTAGTAATTGTGGTCATTTAAGAATGAGATAAAAATGATCAGTTTTGCTTTAATTTACATGTTTTTTTTTTATGGCTATTAAAGTTATTAGAACCTAACTACTTAATAAATGTAACTGTTAGGTATTTCTTTTGACCAAGGGACTCTGTGAAAAAATTACTGAGACTCTAAAGAGACCACAAACCAAGAAAGTTTGGGAACCTCTGGGTTATCTACTTCTCCATATATTAAACACACCCCAAACTTTCCATAGTTCTTCGGTTCTCCTGCAACATTCCTCTGATATGTGAATCAGTATGTTAACGGATCAGTCTCTCAGATTGGGGGTGTATATGTAGAAACACTTCTTGATAGGAAATGCCTGTCTTAAGTGCCTGCCTTAAAGGTAACAAGTAAAATACAAACAGTTATCTTCCCAGTCCAAAGAGCAGTAGTATAGTGGCTAGAGAGGGAAAGATACACTCCACTTCCTAGCTCCCCAGGGTCACTTCATAAGCTATAAAAATGACAATGACACACCAGGGCCACTCAACACATCTGTAATCAGGAGTGCTTACCTGTCTGGACCAGAGAATTTGACACCATCTACCATCCCTAGCCAGGACATCCTGGGGTAAATCATGCTACTCCTGATTCCTCCTCTCTAATTTTCTACCCCAAAAGAAGCTTCCTGTAACTCAACCCCAGCTGCAGTTATTATACTAAAAAAATGCAGTACATTAGGGCCACATAAATCCAAGGCATTACACTGTGATTTTTATTGCATTAAATATGTACTTCTATTAAATATCTGTTTCCATAGTTATAATGGCAAAACTATATTTAGAATTAATAAATAATGGACCTTTCCATTTATAATTCTTTAGCCCATTTATAGGAATTTGGAAAAGGACTAAACAAATCTTTAGGGTTTTTACTCCTGAAATGAAACAAAAACTAATCAGAATACACTTTTTTAAATGTTTAAACCAAATTCACATTCACAGTATACATAAATGTATAGCATATTCACACATACTTTATTTTTTTTTATAATTTTATCTATTTATTTTTTTTCCCCCGAAGCCCCAGTAGATAGTTGTACATCATAGTTTCACATCCTTCTAGTTGCTGTACGTGGGACGTGGCCTCAGCATGGCTGGAGAAGCGGTGCGTCGGTGCACGCCTGGGATCCGAACTCCACCAGGGATCCGAACTCGGGCCGCCAGCAGCAGAGCGCACACACTTAACCGCTAAGCCACGGGGCCGGCCCTCACACATACTTTTAAGAAAAGGAAAAAGGGAGAATTTGCCCATAATCAAAACTTTATTGAAAAACTGACACCAAAATAGGAAATCACTGTTGTATACCTTACAAAATTAAACATAATTACATTATCTTGGTAAATTAACTAGAATTACTGAACTGATAAGGCTTTCTGCGATGTAACACAAATTCAGGAAGTTGTGTGGATCACTAGTGTTGCTTTCTTCTAAATGAACACCCTGCAAAAGAATCAAGAAAGCATATTAAACACTAGTCTAGTCTATCTTTGCTATATTTTTAATGACAAAAAGTACGTTTTAAGCAAAAAACTAAAGTTTAAGGAATATTACATTAATATTCATATATGGGTTATTTATTCTTTTATACCAGAAATTTGCTATAATAAATCTTTTATATTTGAATTTACTCTGATGTGACTATAACTGTCACTCGTTTCTCAAATGCTATAATGGAGTTTAAGACCACAAGCCTGAATTCAACAGTTAAAATTTTAATGTAAGCTGTCAAAGATGCAATCTTAATTTTTAGGAATTATTCTGCATTATTTTCTCAAGAAAATAATTTTGATTAGAGTTCTTTTCAGATCTACTAGGAAAACTCTGGTACAGATACACCCTATTAATCATATGTCAGCACAAAATTCCAAGATCACAGCAGGATATAAAGGTTACAGAAATCTTGCAACGAGACTTTTAAGAGCAATACTGCATTTAATATCATATGCTGACTTTATACTTAGATCTCACCAGGTCACACCAAATAGATCTCAGATTTGTTGCCAATCCCCTTATAACTCTTCCAGTGAGAACAGCAAGGACTCACAGCTCCCCAAAATATCACAAGCAAATTTCAAATATCATTATGGAATTATAAATCTACAAGTACTACTACAGAAAACAATATACATAATTATTATTTTTTTCTTACTGCATAAGAAGTGAAAGAGGAATTAAAATTGGGTTTTTATATTAACCATTAAATGGGTGCTCACAGAAATCAAACCTGGCATTTTAATTAGTTATCCGTCACACAGCTAGCAATGATAAAAACTGTCTTAAGTCATAGGTACCAAATACATATGAAACAAAATATTTACAAGAGAAATTTTAAAATCCTATGGTTTAAAAAATCACATGTCGGGGATGGCCTGGTGATGGAGTGGTTCAAGTTCCGCACACTCCATTCTGGTGGCCCGGGGTTCACAGGTTCAGATCCTAGGTGCAGACCTACTCCACTCATCAGCCATGCTGTGGAAGCATCCCACAGACAAAATAGAGGGAGACTGGCACAGATGTTAGCTCAGGGCTAATCTTCCTCAAGCAATAAAAAAAAAAAAATCCATATGTCCTATTGTATGTAGTTCTTTTCTCCTTTCTGAATTATTTAATATTCCAAGTTAAGCAAACTAAGTGACTAAATACAATAGAATGAGGTGTTCCAAATTAAGAAAAATAATAGTTAAAGGAATTCTTCACAAGGTCAAGAGTATAAACTTATCCATTGAACAGAGCACACAATGAAAGATAAAATTATTTTGGTAATCATGAATTTAAGATTTCTTTTAAACTGGTTTTTTCTCATCACTGCATTAGAAAATACTAAATGATATACCTTCTGTGAGTCTGGCCTTTCCTCCTGTCGGCTGGCACAACACTGTTGAACAACCTACACAAAGAACCACTGTCTGAGCATGGCTGAAAACCGTGGTAATCTTGTAGCAACCTAAAAAAAGGGCAATGTATAAGTGAAAAGCAGAAGAAAATACAGCACTTGTTCAACATATTTCTAGTAAAGACTTTGTAAAAGATTAAAAACTTAAGTACTGTGCAATAGCAAGCCACATGTGTAACTCAAACTTTTCTAGTAGCCACGTTAAAAAAAAATTTAAAAAAGAACCAGCAGGTGAAATTAAATATATTTTATTGAACTCAATATTTCCAAAATATTATCATTCCACCATGTAACCAAATGATTTTTTTTCTGCTACATCTTCAAAATCCAGCATATATTTTACACAGAGACTATTTCCATTTTGACTAGCCATATTTCAAGTGCTCAGCAGACACATATGGCTAACGGCCACCATACTAGGCAGCACAGCTTTACACTTTAAAGAATCAATCTACTTTTCATTGCATCATGAAAAGAAAACTCATCTGAACAGCTTAAAGACTTAGTCAAATGTCATATCGCCTTTGGGGTCCCATCTTCACTGTCCCTTCAAATGTTTCTACAATAGTTTGAATACGTTTATTATGAAAATGTCCCTTATGATATTTCCAATTCCGTAATCGCACTTCTACTCAACAGAGAGTCCTAATGTATCTAAGTATACACACCACACTAGCAATCCCTATAGAAATTTTCCTTGGGAAGGGAATTAAGATTTAAAATTTTACCTGGACATTTTACATCCATAAAATAAGAATTTGGACTTTGAACTAGCCGTTTCTTTTTATGTTTTTTCTTTTCCTCTTCCAAGGACGGATGGAGTAAATCTCTAGCCAACTGAATAAAAAAGCATATTATTACTACTAGAATGAAACCACAATGCTGGCAGACTTAACTATACGTGAATTATACATGCAAAAACAAGAATAACAGTCATACTCGGCAGAGGCAACACTTCAGATGTTATTTTTTTAAGCCTGTTAACTTTTTCATCAATACTTTTTATAATGTTTGCGTCCTCCAAGTCCCGGTAAAAGGGCTCTTTGAAGATCAGGAAGCATATGGTAAGCATATGGTAACCCTGTTCCTCTTTCCGCAACTGAATAATAGTCTCCAATGAAAACAAAACTGTGATGCTAAGTAAGAACCTGACCCCGTCCCTGCCCCGCTCAGAGTAGAAATCGCTGAGAGAGACCCGAGAATACCGACGCCGGGGCGATTTCCGCCCCCAGGGTTCAACATCTGATCTGACTTGAACTCTGAGCCGCTGGGCCGTGACCGTCCTCGATGTAATATGTAAGACAGTTTTTAAAAAGGAAATAAGCAGGAAATCGCTTCCTAGAGGAGGCAGAGGGGGTGAGAACACGAAGCGCAAGGAGAGCAAGACGACTCCAAAGACCACAGCTTCCCGAGCGCCCACAAAACAAGAGCGCTGAGTTAAGTCACCCGAGGAGCTGTCCCCTCCTAGCCAGCGACTCCAGATCTCAGCCCAGGGCGGGCCGGGTCCTCCCGCTCCACGCCCATGCAGGGCTGACACGCCGCTCTGCCCGGGCAAGTCCCGACAAGTCCGCCACGCGCGAAGGAGCTGCGCGATCCGAGCCGCCGAGCCGTGTTCGGCAGGGAGCCCCACGGGCCCGCGGAGTCGTTGGGCTAACCAGTCCCCTGGACCCTCGACAGAGAAGCCCACACAAACCCGAAGCCCGAAAGTAAACAACTCACAGGCATGTTGACGCTTTCGCAACCCCAGACCGTCCAGATCTCTAAGGCGACACCCTAGCGAACAGCATGCGCTAGGGCGGCGCGGCATCAACTTCCGGGATAGAGGAGGCTGGGAGGAGTGGAGCGGCGGAGCGGCGGCGGTGGGCCAGTCCGCTCTAGGCCCTCCTCTCGGTGGTGGGGGGATGGCTCCGGCCGGTCCGCAAATCCCAGAGGAAGGGGACTGTGAGGGTCGCGGCCCCGCGAACCTAAAGGTCTCCAGGGTTGGGGCCGCTGGTCTTCGAGCTCCGCACTGGACCTGCCCGGCTGCGAAGCCGCCTCGGGTTTAGGCCGCGGAGAGGGAGCGCCGGCGTCTGCCCCGGGCCGGGGGCATCGCGGAACCGCGCGGGCCGACCCGGACGGGCACTCTGGGCCGCTCGTTCAGTGTCCGGCCACGCCCGTCCGCTCTCGGTTCGCTGTGCGGCCTTTGCCACCCACTCTTCTCTGTCCTTTTGTGTATTAAAAGCAATATTATTAATTAAAACTAGTAATATGTGCCAAAACAGGCTCGTATACTTGTGCATCCAGCTTCCAAGATACCGCTTATTAAGTTCTTTGCGGGATGCGGCTGTGCCTTGAAAAAGTTTTTAAAAGCACCGATTTGTTGCCGTGCTTAAGTCACCATAAGACCACTTCCTGCCCTCCGACGATTATGCGTGCTTTCCAGAGCAGACGGCTCAGGCCTGAAAAAACGGCGTGTCACCGATAGCCAGACATGAAATATCTTTGATGAGGAGGACAAGCGCTTGAGGAATGGGTGTGCGCAAGTGTGATCGAAAGCTAAGAAATCAGGGAGACGCTCGACCAGAAAATTGTGCTAGATAGACGTTCTCAATCACCTTTTATTTCTCTTTGCAAAAATAATAAGTGTATTCTACACATTTTGGAAAATGCAGAAAAATAGAAGAAAATTAAAATTACCATCCAGAGATAAACATTGTTAACATTCTGACCTATATCCTTCCAAACATTTTTTATTCACTTGCATATAGGTTTGTTTTGGGTTTGGGTTTTATATAATTGGTATCATCTTGTGCATATTCTTTTTTAGACTTTATTCCCCCCCCACTTACCATATAATGAACATTGCTCCATGTTACTACATATTTTCTTACATTATGAGTTTTAATGGGCATGTAGCGTTCATTGTATGAATATATCCCCTTTCATCTGCACACTAAACTGGAATTAAGTTTGGGTTTTTAAATATTTAATATTTTAAATATTAATAAATATTAAATATTTTCAGTCAGATAAGTATATAGAATAATACAATTATGTAGGCAGAATAATGGTCCCCAAAGACTTCAATGTCCTAATCCCCATGACCTGTAGTTACATGGCAAGTAGAATTAAAGTTGCTAATTAGCTGGTTTTAAATAGGAAAATTATCCTGGATTATCTGGGTAGGCCCAATGTAATCACAAGGGTCCTTAAAAGTGGAAGAGGAAGACCGATAAAGAGAAAGAGATGGAGTGACAAGGGTCTGAGAGATGCTACGTTGCTGGCTTTGAAAATGGAAAGAGAGGCCATGAGCCAAAGAATGTAGGCAGCCTCTTGAAGTTGGAAAAGGCAAGGAAATGGACTCTCCTAGAGCCTCCAGAAGGAACACAGTCCTGCCAGCACCTCAGTTTTAACCCAGTGAGACCCTGGTCAGGCTTGGAACTACAGAACTGTAAGATAACAAATTTGTGTTGTTTTAAGCCACCAACTCTACGGTAATTTGTTACAGCTACAATGGAAAATTAATACAATAATGAAGACCCATGTACGCACCAGCCAACTCTGTCAAATCTTAACATTCAATACTCCTTCTTTCTAATTTTTCACTATTAAAATAACACTGATGTAAACATTCTTGTAGATAAGTCTTTGTATACATCCTTGATTATTTACTTAAGATAAATTCCTGGAGAAGGAATTGCTGAGTCAAAAGTTAAGCACATCTTAAGGTTTATAATGTAAACTGCCAAATTACCCTCCAGTAAATTCAAACCAATTTACATTCCAGATGTAAATGTTCGAGAATGCCCCTTTCTTTGCACCCTTGACAGTACTGGATATCATGGTTTTCCCTGTCTAGTCAATCCAGAAGAACTACATGGTATTTTGTCATACTTCAGTATGGTTTTAATTAATATTTTTCATATGCTTATTGGCCATTAGCACTTTTCTATTGGGATGATCATCTATTTCTTCCTTATGTATCCCTCTATATTAAGGATATTAAACATTGATCACATATGCTGCAAATATTTTCCTAACTTGTTGTTTCATATTAATTTTATTTTTTGGTGATTTTAAAATCATACATAAATATTTAATTATATATATACATATATATATTTCAAACCTATTGGTTTTTCCTTTCTGCTATTATGTTTAGATAGGCCTTGGCCACTTTAGGATCAGCTAAATATTTGCCAGACTTTCTTCTAATTCTTTTGTTGTGATGTTTATTCTTTAACTTTTTAATTAACGTGGAATTTATTTTGGCGCTTGATGTGTAGTATTTCTCAGAACAGCTTCTAGTGATCAGGCCTAGTTATTGCTTCATTTTCTTAGGCAATGCCCCGTACAGTGTCAGAACCCTCCAACTTCCGAGACACTGTGGTAGCGTGAGAAATGAAAGTCTTAGCATCAAGAAGACCTGGACTCTATTTATAATTTTGCCTCTTCCTCCAAAACTCAGTTCCTCCTAAAATGTCTCCAGGACCTTGCACTGATGGCAGATAAAAGGACATGCAGACAGATGCAGTGACCCAGAGTCCCTCCACCTTCCAGCCTGCTCTCAGGGATCCTGCAGGAGGAGCTCCCACCTGGCTTCCCACAAAGAACCATGAGTTCTGTTTACTGCCTGAGAACTCTCCAGCTGTTTTATCTGGCCAGGTTTGAGAAGGTGCTGCTGAACTCTCCTGTCAGCACCTGGCTCCCTTCACCTCAGGGTGTGCAGCCATCTCCTCTTCCTTCTCCTTTTACCAACTTCGGACACTGGGAAAACTCACAGGTGTTTGGCTTAAGCCAAACCCAACTGGCACATATTTCAAGCTGGCCAAGACCAGTTCTAAATAGGTCAGATCCCCACTTTCCCCTGGGTTGGAGTTCCTCAGGCTGTGCCCTTCTTTTCCTAGAAAGATGGTCAGAGGTTTAGTTTAGTTTTATTTTTAAGAAATTCAAGAGTGTGCGGTGGGGCCCTAAAGATAACTTTTCACATGCCTGCTTGTTAAAGTATTTTTCTCAGATGCTCAGAGCAATCTATGTCATCAGCAAACTATAAGAAGCCTGCATTCTTTTTCTCTTCCCTCTGTTGTCCACCTGTTGGCACATTTCAAAGCACGTGTGGCTTATTCTCAACACATTCCTGAAATCAGCAGCAACTTCTGACAGTCCACCTCTTCTCTGCACACAAGTTCTCCAAAAGGGTCAAACTATTGTCCCAAAAGCTCCATTGTAGGGATCAAAATCTATCTGTCATGCATGAGGATATTTGACACTCTCAGGTAAGCTCCCATCTATAAGGGGTAAGAATCTCAGCTGCAAACTCTGCTGTTACTTTCTTTATTTTCCAAACCAACTTAATTTCTGACTGAGGCTGAGCCCCCATTGGGCTGATACTACAGACTGAATGTTTGTGTTTCGCCAAAATTCATATGATTAATCCTAACCCCCAATGTGATGGTATCAGGAGGTGGGGCCTTTGGGAGGTGGTTAGGTCATCAGGGTGACGCCCTCATGAATGGGTGCTATTAGTGCCATTATAAAAGAGGCCCAGAGAGCCCCCTCACTCCTTCTGCCATGTAAGGACACAGTGAGAAGACTGCTGTCTATGAACCAGAAAGGGGGCTCTCACCAGACACCAAATCTACTGATCTTGGACTTCCTAGTCTCCAGAACTGTGAGAAATAAATGCCTGTTGTTTAAGCCGCTGAATATATAGTATTTTGCTATAGCAGCCTGAACATATTAAGCCAGCTGGCCTGGGAGAATATTTCACCTCATTCTTGGGGATTGTGCTAGGTTTTCTGCAGGTGTCCCTCACCTGATCTGCTCTCCATCCTTCGCCCTGCTCTGTGCCCAGGAGGCTGACTTTGATGTGCTGCATAAGCTGGGTTCTCTTGCCCTCTGATTTCTAGCTGGGATGGGCCAATGGGAGGCATCAGTAGGAAATCACAGAGTGGGAGACGAGCAGTTTTGGCGTACTTACTTCCCTGGACCTGTCGTTGATGGGCATTTTCTCCCAAGTGGCTGTGTTTCTCTAAAGGAACAGTTCCTTCAGGTGTCCATTTCCTACAGCTCTGGTGGGATTCCAGTCACCACTTCCTCCCCTTTTAGCCAACCTTGTAAATAGTCCCTACATGAAGCTATCTTCAGTTACCCCTTTTGGGTGTGCCATCTGTCATCTGCCAAGACCCTGACATGGGGATCCCCTGTCAGGATGTGCTCCTCCTCAGCCTGGAAGGCTTTGCAGATGGGGTCCATCTGCTCCTCAGTCATCAATCCAACCGGGACACTGTAGGGATTTCCATTGTCGCTGGCTGTGCAACCCTTCAAGTTTAACAGGTCATGCTTGAGATGGATGTGGGAATCTTAAGGGAGACGGCCTTAGGGCCCTAGCCATGCAGATCTTTGCCACTTTGTGCACCAGCAGCATTGGGATCACCTAGGAACATTTTGGAAATGCAGACTCTCAGGCCCCACCCCAGACCTACTGAGTCAGAATCTGCATATTAATAAGATCCCCTGGGCATTCGTGTCCACATCCCAGTGTGAGAAGTACTGGCCTAGATACGCCACACTTGCCATTCTCTCTGGAGTCTTCCTACCCTCCCCGTGGGGCTGTCAGGAACCCAGATTCCTACTTCTCCAGGGTAACAAATCAAAGATATTTTCCTAGATTAGAGCAGGGAAGCCCCTCTTCCCCTGCTTCTCCAAGATATTTTGTTCATTCCAATAAATCTCATTCTGTCTTACCATGTCCAGGAACCCTTTAAGTCAATGATCCTCAAACTTGGTTGCACATTAGAATCACCAAAGGAGCATCCTAGGTGAATTA